CCTTTTCTTTCACTGAACTGACACAGGCTAATTCCAAGAGGTCAAATCACACCCAGCAAGCCAGAAAGGTGCCCAGTTTCTTTCTTCAGCCTGAAGGGTCTCATGGATAAATTTTTCAGGTTTCTTTGCAGAACCTGAGCCTCAAGGCTAACGTGCAAAAAACCCCAGCTGTTACCGTTACTTGCAAAAAGCCATCATTAAGTAACAGCTGATTGCAAAAACTGTAGTGCTGGACATTTTATTCCTCCCCTTGATTTGGTCTGAAGCAGCCTTTGTGCCCATTATTGGTTTGTTAGTTGAACCAGTGTTTCTGTCCTTGTAGGTTCACAAAAATCATTTTTTTAAAACAAGTTAAAGAAATGCTGTGTCTTTGGGAATGCAAAGTCAAAAGTATAACATCAGTGGGAAAGGGAGGCCTGGTATTTTATTGGGCACATACTACAACAAAGGACTTCCTGACTGTGAGAAGAAGCGTTTTGTCCATGTGTCCACTTTAAAACCCAGACATGGAGAACGGCAAGGTGTCAAACAGCTGAGAAAGGAGTAATGCCAGAGCCACGATGTGTAGGCTACCATTAAGCAGCGGGTTCCTACATTATACTCCAAACCTCATTTTATTTTACAGCTTTAATATTAATGGTGCTTGGTATAGACATGCAATTCAATTGTGTGACAGTGCATATACATTACATACAAATGGATGCACTGTGCACCTCTATTTGCAGTTTATTTAGCTCATAATATTCAGCAAGAACTGCTGCTGTTGTTCTGTTTCTCACAGAAGCCTTATCTTTTTTTTTTTTTTTTTCTAATGTATTAACTAGACATTATTTCTATAATTGCCTTTCCAAGTCGGTCACCAAGTTTGTTATGTGCCAGTCCTGCTTCTCAGATCATCTTATTGCAAAATGTGGAATATGTAAAAAAGAATGTTCCTTGAAGTTTAATCTTTGTATACTTTAAGGAGGGAGATTCAATCTGTGGAACAGAGAGGAGCCAGCAGGCTCTAAGGGATGTCCAGGCATTAGTTAGAAAGACAAATTACTTGTCGGTAGAATTGCCTTGTTAAGGTTGAGGGCTGGACGTGTTTCAGTGATCTCAGACTTGGGGGAGGTTACCAAGGCTTGGCAAGAAGGATGTACCACTGATTTGGGCACACAAAGAATGCAGAATTTACGGGCCACAAGGACATTTGGCCCATAAAGATAAAAAAGAAACTAATAAAGACAAGTCAGCAACTGTGCTGAAATCAGGTCCAACTGGGTAGAGGGTAATTCCAGCAGGGGCAGGTCCCAACTACCGACTGACCCAAAAGAAGAGGAAGACTGAGCGTGGGGTAATTAGCATGAGAAGAGAGGGAATTATTAACGAATAGAACACTAATTAATAAGAAAATAGGTAACTTGTAGCCAAGGAACAATAGTGCCTTCGTTTGCTGAAGTGTATAAACAGTGAAATGCTTCGACAGTCGCTGTGCGCCCCTCCCTGAGGAGAGCTGTAAATAACGGCGGTGTCCGAGCTCTGTGCGCGGGCCGGGAAAGGATCGGGACAGGATCCCGTGTGGGCACAGCCCGTGCTCCGGGCGGGTCTGTCCGTGCCCCGTCAGGGCTCGGGGCCGGGACAGGATCCCGTGTGGGCACAGCCCGTGCTCCGGCCGGGTCTGTCAGGGCTCGAGGCCGGAGCCGCCCCAGCCCGCGGGCACGCGCACGGTCACGCGCAGGCGCGGGGCGGGCCGGGGCCGCCATGTCGGGCGCGCCGCCCGTGCTGCTCGGGCTGCGGGACGCGCCCATGGCCGGCCCGGCCGGGCCCGCGCCGCTCCCCGCGTGGGCCACCAACAAGCTGGGCGGCTCCGCGGTACGGCCGGGGCCGAGTCGGGCAGGGCGAGTCCGGCCGGGCTGGGGGGCGGATGGCGGGGCCTGGTGCGGCCAGGTCTCCGCGGGGGGGGGACAGATGGCGGGACCGGGCGGGTGTCAGCGCCGTGCCGGTGCTGCAGGACCGGGGGACGGGACTGTGCCAGTGGGTGCCGGCCGTGCCTCAGTGCCGTGCTGAGGGCTGTGCCGGGGCCGCGCCGGTGTGTGCCGGCCGTGCCTCATTGCCCGCCGTTGCCGTTGCAGGACTGGCCCGGGCGGGTGCGGGCGGCCCCGCGGTGCGGGCGGTGCGGGCGGGCGCTGTCGCTGCTGGTGCAGGTGTTCTGCCCGCTGGAGCGCGGCCCCGCGCACCGCGCCCTGCACGTGTTCGCCTGCGGCGCGCCCGGCTGCGGCCCCGCCGCGCACAGGTGAGCCCGGGGCGGGTAACCCGCCGTGCTGCTGCTGGTGGTGGTGGTGGTGTGCCTGCCGCTCTTCCTCTCGCTCACCCTGTCTCTCTTTGTCCCACGCCGAAGCTGGAAGGTGCTGCGCTCCCAGAACTCGCAGGAGGAGGAGGAAAGGCGAGCCCAGCCCGTGACACAGGTACCGCCCGCACCCTGCCCGCGGCTGGGGGGGAAGCTTGGACATAGAGCCACAGCTGAGCTGGATGAGATTCACATCGTATGTCCCGTTGTTTAAGTGACCACCACCTTTCTCCAAAAGCTGTGCTCTACACCAGGTTCCAGTCACATCTGGGGTTGTGTGAACAAGTCATGGTCGCAGGATTATTACACCATACTAGAAGATTTACTAGATTTACTAGGGCATTGACTTCCATCTATTCTGTGTTAGGATGGTTTTAAAGTGGAAATCACACTTCGATTGTATGGTCAAAACTGATATTTAATAATTAATTAATGGCACTAACTAAAACATTATTTTTCAGCTTCAGATGATTGGGCTGTACTGTTTAGGTTCAGACCTTTAAGATGTTTTCCTTATTTTCTAATTTAATTTTTAAAAATTTGTCATGACTTCTAATTAATCCAATTGAATTATTGTTTCTCTACTTGTGAGGAAAAACTGCACATTGGCTTAAGCAGATTGGAAGAAGCAGGTGGCAATCAAATTAGTGAAAATGGGCAGGAACTGTTTGTTCAGCTGGTGCATTTGCAACGTGAAATTTTGGTCTGTAAATGAGCTTTACTCTTGACAAATGGTGTTATTACTTCCTTCCACATTCTGCCCTTGGACTTAGCTGTGTGGCAGTAACTGTGCTGCAGGTGGAGGTCCCCAGCCAGCTGGCAGGGCCATGGCAGCAGGATGCGCAAGGGCCACTCAAACAGCTGAGGAATTCTTGTTCTGATTCTGCAGGGTGAGATGTTTCTTGCCATAACTGTTCCGGTGTGAGAAGTAAATGTGTGTGTGATGGGAAGCAACACTGAAGAGAATACGTGAAATAACGCTGAGCACCGGGTTGAGGTTTCAGTTTTCTCAGCTGTTAGGAAACTGTATTTGAAGTGCTCTGGGGTGGATGACTCAGCAATGTCCTTTTCCTTTCTTTTTGGGTTCTCAGAAACAAGGCTCAAGCTTTGCTGCGAAGGATTGGTGTGAGGAGGCGGATGACTGGGGAGCCAGTGATGGAGCAGAACCTCCTGCATGTGCCTCCCTGCTTGGCTTAGGTGAAGCAGTGAGCAGCTCCCTGCCCAGGGAGAGGGAGCTGGACTGTGCATCCCAGCTCCAACAGCTGCGCCTGGCTGAGCCTGCAGAGGGCTCAGGCCCCCGGAACACACATCCTGCAGCCAGTGAGGAAATGGCAATGGAAACACCTGATCCTGCCCCTGTGTTCCAGCCCTTTTATATCAGTGTGGTGGATGAGGAAGACTACAGGGGCTTCCTGGATACAGACCATGCAGATGAGCTACTGAAGGAGTATCAGCAGAGAGAGGGGGTTGATTTGGAGCAGATGATGTCAGAAAGGTGAGAATAGGTTTGGATTTCATGGGAAACTAGAGGAATTGGGTACTTTCCTGTGTGCTGACTGGTGATCTAAATGGGACTCCCACTAAACCTGAATGATTTTGTTTGAACTGGCTCCTTCAGGAGCACTGGTTTGTTGGAAGAGCAGAACAGTGCATCCAGTTCTGTCAAATTTTGAGTTTTTCGAAGATGCATCGATTTCTGAGCAGTTGGAATGTTCTTGGGCTCTAGATAGAGCAGAGGACAGTCAGTCTCTGGATCCAAACCAGTGTGGCTGAAACAATATCTGTGCTGAGTTTATAACAGTATCAGTGGCATGGGTTTATATGGTGACAATTGACACTTCTTTACAAGGCTAAAGCTTTTCTTATGTTGCAATTGCATTTTCCTTGCAGAATCTGCAGAGAACACTTGTCAGCAGTGGTGTTCCTGTTGAGTTTTGTTGGCCTTTATAGAATCATAGAACCTTAATTATGTTTGATTCAAAATTGAAAAAGACAACGTCATAATTTAAACACTAGAAAAGCTTTTGAGAAGTTACTAAGGGGTTTTCTGAAGGAATAAAGCTGGTGGATTTGAATCCCCTGGGACAGTTTGAAACAGTGTTAGTAATTGTAAGCCACCAGAAACTGAAGAACCAGAAGCAAAATGTTCACTTGCAGCCCCAAAGAGGAATTGTTTCCTAACATGTATAGTTTTGTTTAGTGTACTTAGTATAATTTAATGTGAGTGTATAGTTATTTAAAACATGCATGTCATACTGAAAACCTTATTGGACAGCTTGTTTCTTTCCTTGTTTTCTTACAGCTTTGCAGGTGAAGGTGGTAATGAAAAATATGAGAAGAGTGAAGTCAAGAGCTGGGACCACACGTTTTATAAATTCATGAAAAGAATATCTCTGTGTCCTGAACAGATTCTGAGGTAACCTGGTTGTAATGGGGAGAATACAGGGTATAGCCTTGGATTGTTAGTACATCAAACCAAACTATTTCATTGGAAATTCATGTACGCTTTTGTTTCTTCATCCAAAAAGATTATTATGGTTGTTGCCATGCCTGTGTGGTCAGACTTCAGTCCCTGCCTGGGCTTTTTTTGTACAAAGCCTGAGCAGATGAGAAGCAAAGCAGGATCAGAGGCCCCAGCTCTGGCTATGGGAGACTTCTTTGACACAAGACCTGATGAGAACAGACCCAGACTGTCTTTGAAGTTTCACTGAAATTCAGACACAGATTTTGAAGAGCCAGTTTTGAGGTAGAAGTATGGGAAGTGAGGTGGAACAGTGGTGTGCTCTTGGGATAGGTTTCTGAGGCTACCTCCTCCTCTCAAATTTTGTAACCTGTTTGTAATTTCTAATGTCTCAGTCCTTGAGATGTTACTGAATTAAGAAATCACTTGTTTAAAAGCTTCACACATATAAGAAACATTGGAGACTTTGATGAATTAACTGTCAAAGGTTATACAGGAGATGTAGTGATGCAGAGTGCAAGTAGCATTTCTTTCAGCTTTTCACTGGATCTATCACTTTGCAGTATTGTGCTCTTGGAATTTTTTGTTCCAAAACATCCCCTCTGGTGATCCCTGGGACGGAAAATATTAATTATAAATAATAAAATATTTTTAATGGTTAAAATTTACATATTATTAGAATATTTTTAAACTTTTAAATATTAATATAACACTCATTATAATCTTTCCATAGCCCTCCCTTTTTATGTCAGTGCTGTTGGACTCCCACAGCTCCTGGGTGTGGATCTTGTTGAGCTGCAGCAAAGCACACAACCTCCTGCTTGGAGTTCAGTGGAAACCACCCTTGCTCTGGGGTTCCTGTTAGTTGTGAGGCTGTGAGAGCTCTTAGAAATAAACCACCAGTTGTGAGCCACAACTGCAGTGGGTTTGAGACCTATTCTGTGTTGAATCTTTTCCTGGAATCTTACCTTTTACTGCTACTATTCAGGGTTCCACTTTCCAGGAAAGTGTAGTTTCCTTAACTAAACGAGTCAGGTACAGCATATTTTGGAGGTGTCAATTCAAAGCATTTATCTCCTTAAACCCAGGTCTTTCCTAAAGATTTTCCAAGTGTTGACCTTCCAACTATTCCCCCCCATCTTTATTCTTTGTTTAATGACCCCTCTGAAGCTTAGGCAGCGATTCTGACTCCTAACCATGGTTTTTTACTTCAAGCAAGTTCAGAGATCCCAGTGAAAAACCTGAAGAGAGTTGCCAAGATGTCAGTTTTCCTATTGAATTTAGGTAGTAAAAAATAATGCTGTGTTCCTTCCTGTCTTCTCTCAGGTACTCTTGGGGAGGGCAGCCTTTGTTCATCACATCTCCTCCAGCTGACATCTCCCAGGGTGTTCCAGCCTGCAGTGTCTGTGGGAGCAGCAGAGTGTTTGAATTGCAGCTGATGCCAGCCCTGGTCAGCCTGCTCCACACTGACTCAGGTGCTCTGCCTTAGGCCAGTCTGGGCCACGAACTGGCACCTCTTTGGTGTTGGGATTGTTTCTTTACACCCCCGTGCACTGCTGTGCTTCACTACAGTCATCATGGCCTGTAGAATTCACTGTTCCCATCAGAGTCAACTGAGCAAAAGAGAGTGCTCTGTGATTGCACCTTCACTTGCTCGCCAGTGAACTTTAATAGGGATCATTCCATGGCCCTGGGAGTAATTTGTCTTTGTTGCCTCTTAAAGGAGGCCTTGGAAAATAATAAATGTTGCCAGATAAGGTTGCAGACACTTCAGAAGCTCTTTGAAAATCCCGAGTCAGCTTGCTTTAAAATGTTTAAAATCAGAGAATGCTGTGTACATAGGAGGCTGAATATGAGAAATATTTTCTGAATTAATAGTTTCTGCAAAGATTGAAGTATAGTGCTAAGCAGTAGCCCCCAATTATGCCACTTTCCTTGCCTTCACCTGCCTTTATTGCTTTGTTTTTAGATCTGTCAGTGGAATTTGGAACTGCTATAGTTTACACATGCGAGAGAAGCTGCTGGCCAACAAATCACCAAACCCCTCTTGAAGAATTTATTTTTGTACAAGAAGACCCCGATCAGAAATTATTTAAATAAATTGTATTTCTCTACATAGATGAAAAGTCTGTTGGGTGGTTTTTTTTGTTGTGTTTTGTTTGTTTGTTTGTTTTAACTACAGGGGAAAGTGTGTAATAGTGCACCAATCCAATTGTGCTGCTTTAATTTTAAACTGCCTGCATTCTTCTCTGGCATTCCCTGTTGGTTTGGGCTAAATTGCAGTATCTAAATTGACTGAATGGAGAAGTAATTTGAATCAGTGTCCTTAGAGCATTCTGTACAGGTTTAATGCTGCAGCATAAGTTACTGCTGTAAAAGTGTGTGCCTAAAATTATGGGAGGGGGAGAGAGACACAGACAGACAACAGGACAGCCTGAAGTGGTGGAATGTGCTTGCAAAGCTACTTTTTAAAGGAAGAATTACAGCTTATGACATCAACTTCTAGAGGAGAGTTAGTTAACTTAGGCTGAGTAATTAAAATAAATATGCAAAAAAAATAAATATGTTAAATGAATTAAAAATACGCTGAGTTGGAAGGGACCCATCAGGATCATCGAGTCCAACTCCTGGCCCTGAACAGAAGGATCCCACTATGAGAGCGTTGTACAAATGCTTCTTGAACTCTATATAGCAATATAATACATAAATATATTTATTATCTAAATCTATTTAATATATGAATATATCTGTATAACTATATTACATAAATATATATAAACACATTACTTACATAGTGATCTTGAATATATAAGCATATTAAATATATGCATTTAAAACATGACTATATTCAAAATAAACACCAGCAGAGCTCCCGTGGTGCCGGGGGGCGCTGCCGTGGGTGCTCCCGCGGGGTCCGGTCCCCCGTGGGTTCCGAGCGCGGTCCGGGCCGGGCGCGGGACTCGAACCCGCGGCTGCCCGGCCCTTCCTCCCGCGCGGTCCTCCCGGCCGCCAGGGGGCGCGGCGTGGCGCGGGCGGCGCTCCGCCCCGGCGGGCCGTGAGGAGGCGCGCGGAGCCGCCGCCGTGTCGGTCATGGCGGCGCCGCTGTCGGGGCCGCTGCGCCCCGAGCTGGCCCAGGCCGTGTCCCAGGCGCGGGTGCTCGTGGTGGGCGCGGGCGGCATCGGCTGCGAGCTGCTCAAGAACCTGGTGCTCACTGGCTTCAGCAGCATCTACGTGGTGCGCGGCGGGCGGGGCCGGGGCGGGCGGGCCGAGCCCGTGGGGGCACTCGGCTCGATGTGGGCGCGGGGCCGGCGCGGCCGCTCCCGCCGCGCTGCGGGGCCCAACCGGGCCCGCCCGGCACGGCACGGCACGGCCTGGCACGGCACGGCACGGCCGCCGCGGCACCGCCGGGCCGGGGCGCCACAAAGGGCCGCGGCCTGCGCGCCATCGCCGCCCTCGGCCCGGGCCCGGCCCCGCTGCGCCGCCTCCCCCGGCACGGCCTGGGCACCCGGGAACTGGCCCGGCCACCCGGGAACCGGCCCGGGCAGCGCCAGGGGAACCCCCGGCACTCCGCGCTGTCCGCCCCTCCTGCCCGGCCGTGCCTGGGCAGCCTGGGCTGTGCCGGCGTGCGGGGGGCGGTCGGGGGTGAATCGGAGCGAGGAAAACCCGCGGGGAGGGGAATTGTGTGTTCCATACCGGGCTGTAAAACCGTCAGCGCTGGCACCCGGGCACGGCGCGTCCCGCCGGCTCCTGCTTTCACTTTTGCTTCCAGATATTCACCTGAAAGTGGGTGGGAAGGGCAGGTGTGAGAGGAGGGGGTGATGGAAACGGGATATGAGAGAAATGCTGTCGGCAGAACTTTTGTTACCCGGTGTCCAGACCTGTATTGATTCCTTGCTGTAGTCAGGAGCAGCTATGGATTCAAATCCAGCTGGAGCACCAGCTGTTCCCTTGAGTACCTCTGTCCTGCCGAGGGTGCCAGGAGTCGCAGCCGGGAGTTTGGTGTGCCGGGCTGGAGGAGGTCGGGGTTGTGCTCACACTGGCTGAGCAGAGACTCGTAGAACAGCAGCTCCTGGTTAGCCGTGTTATCCCTACAACTCAGGCTTCCCCACTGAGATACTCTTCAAACTTGTAGAATGTGTTTTAAGTGTAATTCCAGATTGTCCTTTTTTTTTTTAGAGCCTTTCCCATTTGAACATTGCAGCAGGGAAATAAACTGTAGAAGAGAGGAAACCTGCATTTAATGCAGTGTTCCCCCTTTTTTCCCCGCCTTACCAACCCAGCTGTGTCCTCCTGCAGCCCATTACAATAGAGTTTAACAGCTCCTGATTTTCCAGTTGTTCATTAGGCATAAATCTCGTGCTTATTGTTTCACTTACTGTAATTTAGGTTGTGGTATTGTCTTTCAAGGCTGACTTGGGTGAACTCCATCAGGGCTGTGTCCATTTAACAATATCACTGGCAGTGTTCCATGCAGGACAGTAATATTTTATTAACAGAGGGAATGGGTGGGTAGAAGGCAAGGTGAGAGCAAAAAAATAATAGTTAAGCAAAGAGGGAATTTGCCATTGGGAGGAGAAATTGCTTTTGTCAATATCTGTGATATTGTTGAGGGTTTTCCTTGGTTGTTAAATACTAACAAAGTTGAACACCTGAAAATGCTTTGTATTTTTATAAGTAAGTTGTGATTAAAAAAAAAAAAAACTAAAAAAAAAACTTGGTAATTTTAAATACCAGACAACTCACAAATATGTGACTTAAATATACTGTGTTGAAAGGCCGTTGTCCTCAGGAGTGGAGAACAAAATGAAGTTCCTCAATATCCAGGGCTGAATTAAGAACATGATATGTTCTGATGCCTTTTCTTCCAGCTGACTAAAATGATAGCTGCATAGAAGATGCTTAATAAGTGAACTGTTAAATTCTGATCATTTTGAGCTGGACTGGAGCTTCTGTTGAGGTCTAATGGTCAAGTTTTCCCTCTGGAGAAAACCTTCCTTTGCCTCCTGGACCCAGTTTTTGCTGTTTGCAGTGGTGTTTTGTGTCCCTCTGTGCTCATCCCCAGTTAAATACTCTTAAGTTTTCTGGGTAGTGGAAGTTTTAAGAGAGTTTTGCACTTAACTGTTTTCCCTTGAGGTTCTTGGGCTTTTTGGCTCTGGACTAAACAAGCTTTCTGAGTGTGTCTCAGGAGAAAGAAAGGAGGTAGAAATGTGAACTCTTGAGCTGTTTCAGTTCTTAGTAAATTAAAGCTTGGTCCTTAAATGAAAGGTGTTCCCTTCAGAAAACAGGAATTTTAATCTTGCAGTTTGGGTCTTGCATGCAAAGGATGTTCCATAAGTGTGTGCCATGGTTTTTTCATAATTCATGAACTGGGGAGTGTCTGAGAACACCGTCAGTGTCACAGTCACCCTTCACACTGCAGGGTCGGCTGAGAGGAGGGTGCAGTGGAAGGGTGACTGTGTTGGGTTTGTCACCATTATCCGTGGGAATTGGGAGAACCAGCTCTGATACTCAGAAAAACTGTCCCTCCTCCTGGTTACAACTGTTAAGGACTTCTAAAAAGAGTCAGTGAGCAGAGAAACTATTTAATTAGAGGAAAAGCAGTAACAAAGCAAGGAATAAATGTCAGAGTTAACTCTTAATTCTGGTGGTGGGGTTTAAAGACACTTGAATTTTTGCTGTTCCTGTGCCTGTATTAATAAACAGGAAGGTGGCTTTTAGGGGAGCTGCAGACATGGCATCCATTGAGGTTGGACACCACGAGTGTTCTGTGTTGGATGGTTTTAAACACCCTGATTGTGTGATTGGATTTTTTAACATGCACTTGGGCAGTTAGTCCTGTGACAAACAGGACAACCTGTGCCCTGCAGTGTGTGTGTGTAAGGTGGTGATGCAGCCCTTGGTTCAGTGATTCAGCTGCCCAAAGCCACGTTCATTTGTAAACTGGTTGGTTTGGAGCAGCCTTTCCTGCACCCTGGGGAGGCACAGAGCAGTGTGCAGGGTGGGATTCCTGCACAGGTGATCCCTTGTGCCTCTCCAGCTGCCCTGGTGCAGATGTGACACCTGAAAAGGGGTCTGTAAAGTTTGTGCATTTTGGTCAGTCCCCTTCCTTCAGACTCTGCTCATGATTTTGTTCCTTTTGTTTCTCTGGAAGTGAAATGCCTCTCTTGTGTGTTTGTAGATTGATTTGGACACTATTGATGTCAGCAATCTCAACAGACAGTTTCTGTTTCAAAAGAAACATGTTGGAAGATCAAAATCCCAGGTGAGGAAAAAGTCAAAGCTCAAGTCTTCTTGCTCAGTGTTATTTTATGGATAGTGTTAGAAACTTGGCCCAGTTTAGTTTCTGCTGTGCAGAGGTAAGTGTTGGTTGGTTGGTTGGTTGATCGATCATGCCTATCCACAGCATTTCATTAGAAAAGTATTTAAATCTCTTAAGGTAGCCAACTTACTCGATACTCAACTGGTATCAAGTCTGTCTTTAGAAGGAAGGAAGAAATAATGAGTGTTTTTTTTGTTTTCTTTTTTGTTTGTTTCGTTTCTAGGTTGCCAAGGAAAGCGTGTTACAGTTTTGTCCAGAAGCTAATATTATAGCTTACCATGATAGCATCATGAAGTATGTTGGGTTTTAAGCTCTAATTCCATGTTTTGATTTGCAAGTGCTGTGTTATTTAAATGCTACACTGGTGTGCTTTAAGGTATTTCACAAAGCTTCCTCAGTAAGGAGAAGTAGCTGTAAATGTGAGCCTGCCATGCCCCTGAGTGTGGATTTTGCATGAGTTTCAAGCTCTGGTAGTAAGCTGTAGTCATTTGCTTGTGTCTGTTTTTCATTCTGGTAGCAACATTTGCCACATAAGACTCCACACTGTAAGAATGCCCTGATGTCTTGAGCAATAATTAAATCAAAAGAAATGCAAACGTTGAGTCTGTGATTAAAAAAATTAAGTCCTTTTTGTGTGTGTGTGTAGCTAACTGTTGTTTATGTACACCCCAAACTGTTAAAATTTAGTCTTTGTGAGCTGCAGTCAGTGAGTACAAGAGTACATAGATTTTCATTAGCTGTTTCCCATGTTTTAATTTCTAATTGTCCAGTTTCTTAAAACTGGATATTCTGTAACACAGAGGTTTG